ATGAATCATACCCCAATTCAAGCTTAATGAAACTAAGAGTTTTCAACTTCTACGTTCAATGTCGGAACCTATCAAATCAACTCCGATTGACCTCAAATTTTACATACAAGTCATAAATTACATAAACGGAGCTATGAAAATTTTCGAAATTGGATTCCAACTCCGATATCAAAAAGTCAACCCCCCGGTCAAACTTTAAATTCCTATTTTAGCCATTTCAAGCCTAATTTTACTACGGACTTCCAAATAAAATTCCGATCACGCTCCTAAGTCCAAAATCATCGTACGGAGCTGTTGGAATCATAAAAATTCTATTCCGGGGTCGTTTTCTCAAAATATTGACCGAAGTCAAACTTAGCACTTTAAGGCCAACTTAAGGAACCAAGTGTTCCGGTTTCACCTCAAACACTTCCAAATCCCGAACCAACCATCCCTGCAAGTCATAAATAATTACAAGTACCTACAAAAAGTTTTATTTTAGGGAACGGGGTTCTAAAAGTTAAAATGACCGGTTGGGTCATTNATACATTTTTTTAAATATGTATGCAATTGTATTTACAGGTCATATAATGCTACTAGCATATGGTATTGTTGATTCAGAGAACGGTGTTGCTTGATCGTGGTTCTTTGAGCAATTCAAGGAAGCATATGGTGAGAGGAAAAACATGTGCATAGTTTCATATAAGAATGAGAGAATCATCAAATCTGTATCGAGAGTGTATCCAACGGTATCTCATTTTTCTTGTATATGGCATCTATGGAACAACGTATATAAGAAATTCAAAAAGAGTCATTCAAAGTTGAGTGAGATATACTTCTCGATGGCAAAAGCATACACACAGGTTGAATTTGATAGTATAATGGAGAAGGTGGAGAAGGTAGATTTTAAGGTGAAAGAATACTTGAAATTAGCTGGATACAAAAAGTGGGCTAGGTTGTATGCACCTGTTAATATGGGATGGACCATGACGTCAAATATTGTTGAGTCAATCAATGCCGCACTTGTGTCAGCAAGAGAATTGCCAATATACGACTTCCTCGAAGAAGTTAGAAAGATGTTTGGGCGTTGGAATTGCAGCAATCGAAAAGAAGCTTCACACACATACACAGTGCTTGGAAAACAATATCAGGAAATGCGTACTTTGAATGAGGCAATGTCTACACGTATGACTGTAAGTTTTTTTTTTAAAGTCATTGTATCATGTATTTAGCCATGTTACAACATGTATTTATTTCTGATACAATTTCTACTATTCACATACGACATGCTCATGTATTTTAAGCAGTTGTGCATGTTTTCTGTTTTATGAAATGTTTAAAAAACTGATAATTATATTTATACATTACTTGTTTATACATTTGTATTTCATTGGTTGAATTCAATGGTTTTGTTTCTAATCAGATGCATTTCCTAAGCAGATAGTCTATATGTTACTGTATATCACTGTATTCATCAGTTAAAATGCCATAATCTTTAATATTCTGCCAGCCTAAATATAGACTGTATTCCACGGTATTCAATATATTTCATTGTATATCACTGTATTCATCAGTTAAAATGCCATAATCTTTAATATTCTGCCAGCCTAAATATAGACTGTATTCCACGGTATTCAATATATTTCATTGTATATCACTGTATTTCTTTGTATTTTATATCTACATATATGTTTATATTTCATTATATTTTATACATTTATATTTGTTTGTATTCAATATAGATGATGATTCTGAAAGCTAAATAAAAGTTTACTGCTGTATATTTTTAAAAAATATTATTGTATATATCTATATTGTATTTAATACGTCTATTCTTTGAGATATATATGACTTTTTAAAAAAATTCAAAACTTATAGGTCTATGTTTAAATGTAGGTTGTACCATCGAATGAATATTTGCATACGGTGAATGATGAAGGAAGGCATTACACCGTTTGCCGCTTAAAGAGAAAGTGCAGTTGTGGGCGGTTCCAAGTTAACGAATTACCATGCCCACACGCTTGGACTGTCTTGAAGAGCAAGTTTCTAATGCCAGAAGATTATTGCTCGGACTATTACAAATCAAAGTCTGTTGTAATGACATACGAGGTGCTCGTATATCCGCTGCCTAACCAAAATGAATGGAATATACCAGCACATATATCAGAGGAAGTTGTCTTACCACCCAAATGGAAAAGATCTCCTGGAAGGCCAAAGAAGAAGCGCGATAAGTCGTTCAGTGAATTGTTGCAGAAGAAAAATCAACATTCGTGTAGCACATATGGGCAGAGAGGACATAACAAGAGTACTTGTAGAAATGCTCCACGTAGGACTTAATTCATGTTCTGATTTGTATTACTGCAATAATGATGTGTCATAGATTCTGGTGACATTTTGAAATAATACATATTGATTTGTTGATATATTGGATTATTGCGTGATGATTTCTCTTTAGAACAGTTAGTAAACATTTAATTTAGTAAACTGCTGAATACATATTGCATTTATATTTTGAATAAATATGAATACACACATGTGCATTTATATCTAAATACATAATTACAATCTGCTGAATACATATGAATACAAAATGCATTACACATACAATACAATCTGAATACATTTGAATACTTATGAATACAAAATGCAGTACACATATAGTACAATCTGAATATATTTGAATACATGTGAATACAAAATGCTGAGCACATACAGTACAATCTCCTGAATATGTTTGAATACATAATTAATCTCGTGAATATATTAATCTCCTGAATATAATTGAATACATGTGAATATAAAATGCAGTACACATACAGTACAATCTCTTGAATATATATCAAAACATGATGCATATACAATCTGTTGAATACATATGAATACAATCTGCTAAATATATTTGAATACATGTGAATACAAAATTCAGAGCACATACAGTACAATCTCCAGAATATATTTGAATACATAATTAATCTCCTGAATATATTTGAATACATGTGAATATAAAATACAGTACACATACAGTACAATCTCTTGAATATATATCAAAACATGATGCATACATAACCTACTAAATACATATGAATACATATATACATATGAATACAATCTGCTAAATATATTTGAAATTTTGAATAGATGTGAATACAAAATGCAGAGCACATACAGTACAATCTCCAGAATATATTTGAATACATAATTAATCTCCTGAATATATTTGAATACATGTGAATATAAAATGCAGTACACATACAGTACAAGGTCTTGAATATATATCAAAACATGATGCATATACAACCTGCTGAATACATATGAATACATATATACATATGAATACAATCTGCTAAAGGATTATTTTTAGTAAACTGATGAATGCATACTGTATACATAATTTGAATACATATGAGTACATACTGCATATATTACATTGAATACACACACACACACACACACACACACACACACACACACACACACACACACACACACACATATATATATATATATATATATATATATATGTGTGTGTGTGTGTATGTGTGTGTATGTATGTGTGTGTTGAATACATATGAATACAACCTGCTGAATATTAACTTCTGCACAAAACATTGAAACAACATGAATATTCGAAATTATAAACTGCTGAATAAACACTGGATACAGTGCATAAAGTGAATACATGAGTTTTTCTTAACAGAACACCATCTTTACCAAAACAATATTCATAAAACTATATTCACATAAAACTATCTTCCAAAACTATATTCACCGAAAACTATTCTAAAACTATCTTCACAGAAGTATCCGAATTTGTCATTCGTCTAACAATCTTTGCGGGTACTTCATTGTCGCTTATGGCATCGGCGTCTATCTTTCGCATAGCATAGTCCCAAAGAAGGGCACCATATCTTTGACTTAGTAAATTGGTATCAAATGTTATTTGAGGAACCAATCCATAAGTGCTCAAATACTCTGCGTATGCTGCGACATGCAACCCACAGTCCCTGAAAATGTAGATTGACACAATTAAATAAAACTCATATTATTAGTATTATAAATGATACAAGAATACAAAATGGAATGGATTCATACATGCTCCCAGCCATTTATTGAGGCACATTCGAAATAAAATCAAATGCAAAGGGATCAGTTTGTGCCTTGTCATTGTATGTTGGTTCACGAGACCAATCTATTCCTTTCTTATCTCTGTAGAAACCACTGATCGATAGGTACAGAGGTACAAGCTTAGCAAGCTTATCTATCTTAGTGCGCACATAAACATCATGGTCTGTTGATCGGTAGGAGTCATATACCTTGATACATCTCTCCTTAAATGAGACAACTGCCAATATCCAATGAAGTTTGTCCTTCAAGTTGACTGGTATCAAAACATTATCAACCGTATGCCATGGTACATTAGCTAGCAATTCATAAGTACAACAGTGAAATTCATGTAAATACATCCAAATATATCTAAATACATCTAAGTAAATATAAAAACAAACAGTGAAAGTCATTGTAATAACTATTTATCAGTAAAATACAGATGAATACATGTATTTGAAATATATAACACATTCATAAGTACAACAGTGAAAGTCATCTAAATACATCCAAATATATCTAAATACATCTAAGTAAATATAAAAACAAACAGTGAAAGTAACTGTAATAACTATTTATCAGTAAAATACAGATGAATACATGTATTTGAAATACATAACACATTCATAAGTACAACAGTGAAAGTCATCTAAATACATCCAAATATATCTAAATACATCTAAAACAAACAGTGAAAGTCACTGTAATAAGTATTTATCAGTGTTGGAACTATTGAATACATATAAATACATTAAAATACAGAGAATAGAAAAATAGTGTATATGGTAATAGTCGTTGTATTAGGACTAAAATACATATAAATACATCTACTGTTACCTTTTCGCTCAGTGTTTCCGAGCTAATTCTTGTATCGACCTCTTTTCCCTTAACCTCTGAATCTCCATCCATGGGTTTTCTTCTCTTTTCCGCATCATGAAGTATTGATTCGTTCGGAAATTTCTCAAATTGGGCTTGTTTCGATGTGTCATTACGTATTTTTGTTCTCTTTTCCACAACTGTATTTGCTGCTGAACCTGCAAATACATGTTCCGCTTGAGTGATTTGCAAATCGAAAGATGGCCCTTCGAAATCGAGTGCTTTGGTCAGTATACCTCGGATAACCCTCTTGTAAGGAGTTGAATCGGCCATTGGAGAAGAAAATCCGAGTTTTCTGTAAAAGCATAACACTGGTGATTGTTTCTAAAAAAATAGTACAGATATACAGAAGAATACAGGTGCCACCAAAAATCTAACAAGTTTAACACTTACCACAACTTTTTTGAGCAATCAATTTTGAAACTTGAGAGAGAGAAGCTTGATGAATCAATTGATAATGGTGGTTGTATTCGTGGGGAATATACTGGGTTGGGAGAGAGATAGTGGAGAGAGAACGTGAGTTTAACAAAATTATATACAATACCGGTGTTATTGGGGGAGAGAGAAAAATATTTCATAGCGTATTTAATGGATTAACAGTAGGAAGTGACCATAAATACATAATTTTCTATAAAACCTAAAAGGTAGCTATAGAATATAATTTTATAAAAAGGTATTTATTTATAATAAATAAGGTGTAAAGATTTGCTATAAGAGGTAAAAATTTATAAAAGAAATTACTTACCTATATGTCAGGCCTGTACATAACACGTGCATCATCTTTCTAGTAGGAAAATAAGGCCCGAAGCATTTACTTTGAAAAAGATGCAAAAGCAAAGAATTCTTTTGCGAGTTAAGCTGTCACGATCCGAAATTCTCACCTTCGGACCGTGATGGCGCCTAATATTTTACTTGCTAGGCAAGCCAACGTTAGAATAATATTAACCAATTTTTAAGCAATTTTTAAATTATTAATAATCAAAGAAACAAATGCGAAAGCAAAGTTTGAAATATAGTGAATAATCCATAAAAATAACGGTGTCTAAATACCATCCCAGAATTTGGTGTCACAAGTGCACGAGCTTCTAGAATAATATAAATAAATATTTGAAATAAAATAAAGATATCTGGAAATAAACACACAGCTAAAGTAAAATAGACGGGGACTTCAGAACTGCGGACGCCATGCAGTTATACCTCAAGTCTTCTCTGGTAGATAAAATCCGAGCAAGTCTATGGTACGCCGCTAGGACCAACTCCAAAATCTGCATAAGAAGTGCAGAGTGTAGTATCAGTACAACCGACCCCATGTACTGGTAAGTGCTGAGCCTAATCTCGACGAAGTAGTGACGAGGCTAAGGCGGGTCACTTACATTACCTGTACGCAATATTAGTAACAACAACAATAATAAAAATAAATCAGGTAATTCATTTGTAATAATTGAAACCAACTCAGCAGTCATAACCAATTGTCATTTCCATCAATTCTGTTGCAGCGTGCAATCCGCTCTCACAATACATTCACATTCAAATTCTGTTACAGCGTGCAACCCGCTCTCACAATATATTCACATTCAATTCTATTGCAGATTGCAACCCGCTCTCACAATATATTCATATTCAATTCTGTTGCGGCGTGCAACCCACTCCTCCAATGTATTCATTTTAATAAAGGATGTTGCGGCGTGCAACTCGATCCTCCAATATGGACTTTTAATAAGTCTATTGCAGCGTGCAACCCGATCCTCCAATATAAACTTTTTAATAAGTCTGTTGCGGCGTGCAACCCGATCCTCCAATATATTCATTTTGATTAATTCTGTTGCGATGTGCAACCCGATCCTCCAATATATGTATTATAATCAATTCTGTTGCGGCGTGCAACCCGCTCCTCCAACATTTTCATTTACCAATTCTTATAGAAGAAATTTCCCCAATAAGTGCAATAATTAATATAAAATTATAAGACAATAAGCATACAATAATTATGATTTAATTATGAAACAAACAAAGGCAAATAGCAAATTATTATGGAAATCAGAGAGAAAATATGCAGTTTAATATTTAATATGCTAAATGTCAAATAACAATTAAGGCACATAATTCAAATAGCATGTAACAATTAATGCAGGAATTCAAGAATTAATATTTGCTAAAGAATATGAGAGAAATAATTATTATAATAATTAATTCATGATTTAAAATAATTTATGATTTTTCAAGTAAGCAGGCAAATAATTAATTTGACGATGTATCGACACTCGTCACCTCGCCTATACGTCGTTCACATGTAATTCATATAACAAATAATTTAAGGGTTCTATTCCCTCAAGTCAAGGTTAACCACGACACTTACC